GCTGCCCCTCCCTTGTCATTTCTTATTGCACAATATTATTCCATCACAATCATCCTACAACTGATGGGCATCCCCTCAGTTTCCAAATCTTTGCCACCACAGAAAGAGCTGCAGTAAACATTTTTGTACATGTAAGTCTTTTTACCATTTTCTTTGATCTCTTTGGGGTACAGACCCAGTAGTGGTATTGCTGGATTAAAGGGTACACACATAGTTCCAAATTGCTCTTCAGAATGGTTGAATCAGTTCACAACTCTAGCAACAGTGCATTAATGTTTCAATTTTCTCACATCCCCTCCAACATTTATCATTTTCCTTTTCTGTCACAAGAGCCAATCTGATAGGTATGAAGTAGTACCTTAGAGTTATCCTTATTGCATTTCTCTAATCAATAGTGATTTGGAGCATTTTTTCATGTGATTATTTATAACTTTGCTTTCTTCTTTAGAGAACTGCGTGTTTATATCTTTTGATCTTTTATCATTTGGAGGGGTAGCTAGGTGGTGCAGCAGATAAAGCACTGGCCCTGAAGTCAGGACGACCTGAGTTCAAATCTGGCCTCAGACCAAATACTCAATACTTACTAGGTGTGTGACCCTGGGCAAGTCACTTAATCCCAATTGCCTTAATAAAAAAAAAAAAAGAAAGGGGGAGTTCCCTACATCCATGAAATCAAAGATCCAGTACTTCTTTTCATATATGTACATGTCTCCCTTAATATCAAACAAACTTCTTAGGGACAGCTAGGTGGCACAGTAGATAGAGCACCAGCCCTGAAGTCAGGAGGACCTGAGTTCAAATCTGGCCTCACACCAAACACTTGACACTTACTAGCTGTGTGACCTTGGGCAAGTCAACCCTAACTGCCTAGGCAAAAAAAAAAAATCAATTGGAGAATGACTCTTATTTTTATAAAGTAGATATATTTTAAACTATTTTAAAAAATGCATCATAGCTTGTTTAGCCATTCCTCAGTTAATTAACATCTGTTTATGTCTAGTTCTTTGTTACTAAAAAAAAATGCTGTTATAATATCAAAGTACATTTACATACTTAGGCTTTATGTTTCCCAGAATCCTTATAACACCCCTCTGAAATAAGTACTGTCCCCATTTTACAGATGAGGAAACAGACTAAAAGAGGTTAAGCAGCTTGCTTGGGGCAACACAGTAAGTGTCTGTGACAGGATTTGAACTTGGGGATTTCTGGTGACAAGTCTAATATCTTATTTGCTACACCACCTTGCTGACATATTTTGGTGTATGCAGGGCTTCTCCCCCCCCACCCCAAAATCACTGATGTTCTTGGAGGTACATACTTTTGCAGTGGAATGTCTGGGTTAATAGCATAAATAATGAGCACTTTTCTGAGATTCTTATTATCTACAACTTAATGAAACTTTTTCATATGTATTTGATTCTATATCTAGACTTTTTATTCCTTTCCACTGGTCTGTTTCCTTTTTTTTTTTCCCACTCAAAAGCAAATAATTTAATGAAAATTGCTTTGTGTAATAGGTTTTATAGTGTTAAAGATGAGATGTCTGTTTAAAATTTTAAGTGCCTCTTTATATTCTTTTGTCTTTTTTACATTAATTTTTTATCTAATTGCATAAGTGAAAATTTCCTACCCCCAACTGATTATGATAATTGTATCTCATTTTGTAAGTTGTTTATTTTTTCCCTTTGACATTGGAGAATAGATACTGCTTTTGAATATTTGTAACAGTTTCCTATAGATTTAAGGTGTTTTATGTTTGCACAGTTATTTTTATTTATTAACTTTACATACACACATATTTCTGTTTCATAGAACAGTTTCATTTTTTTATCTTTGTGTGTATCTACCTCATATCCAATAATTTTTCCCTTTCTTTAATTGTTTAGTGGATAGAGTGCATGCCTAGAGTCAGAAAGACTCATCTTCCAGAGTTCAAATCTGTCTTCAGACACTTACTAGCTGTGTGACCCTAGGCAAGTCACCTAACCCTGTTTGCCTCAGTTTCCTCATCTGTAAAATGAGCTGGAGAAGGAAATGGCAAATCACTCCAGTATCTTTGCCAAGAAAACCCTAAATGGTTTCATGAAGAGTTTGACATGATTGAAATGACCAAACCCCATAATGGAGAGAAATCTATAACTGCATTTTCCTCCTACTTTTTACAGTTTTTTGTTTGTCAGAGTCATTTCAGGTAAGGCTCTCTAAATTTAATTTTTGCCTTAATCACTGTCTGCTTTTCTCAATAGCATCCATTCAATAATGAATGCTTTCTCTAGTTTTTCTTTTCAAGAGGCTTATCAAACCCTAATATTTTGCAAATATGTTATCTAGGATCTTGATTCTTTTCTCCTAGTCTCCCCCTTATCCCCCAATGTGGATAGTTTTGATGCTAACATAGTTCAGTATTTTGGGGATGGGGATATTATTAGTGTGGGGATGCCCTCTGTAATGGAGCTTAAATTTCTATGACTCAAAAGACTGAAAAATACAACATTTCTCTGCAGCCAACTTTGAAGGGAACCTCTCCAAACTTAGCAAGACTAGTGCTGAGACATCTTAGTCTGTCACTAGTCTTCTGCTTGATGCCTCTTCAACCTGGGCCTGTCAAAGACTGGGCTAAGTCTCTGAGGCTTGGAGAACCCAGAGGCATTTCCAAACCTGCTTGGGCATTGGAATAGGCCTTGAATTTACTGCTTTGTCTTTTTAAACATTGAATACCTTTTCAGTCACCATTTTTGTTAAAATTTTCAAAGTGATAGTTTTTGATGCTCTTGTTTGCCTTAAGCTAAATACTCAAATTTGCAAGGTTCATAATTTTAAAAATCTAATTCCATGTTTTTAAGACTTGTACAGGCATTTTTGAGAGCTGTTTTAACTGTATTTCCCTTATTACTGCTGAAAAGGCTGTAGAGACTCTTAACTGGCACTTTTTGATGCTTTAGTAATTCTTTGCCATTATCATTTTGCAATTTGGCAAATGAATTTTTTAATTCTGAATTTAACAAAAAATGAGCATTTCCATACATGTATGTAATAACAGAAGAACACAGTTGTGTATGAAACTGTAAATCTCCATTTTTATAGTCTTCTTTTTAAAAAAAAGTGTATAATTCCAGTCATTGATTTAAAATTATCCCTACTTAAAAATATTTCAGTGACTTTTTTTATGTCTTCACTTCCTGCCTTTCCCTTTTCCCCTCCCCTAGGAGCCTGAGTTATCTCAGTCTGAAATCTACCATACACCAGCAGGTGGAGGTTTCCTTGGTGCTCTGGGATTTCTGACCACTTTAGAATTGTCTCTGCTTTTTTGCCTCTGAACAGAAAGCCCTTCAGGCTTACAGAGATGTATTTGATATGTCTGTGGGAGATAGCCCTGGGAGTCTAGCGACTTGTTTGCTTTCCCTGGTGCTGACTTTACTGTTGAGGTCCTGTGTTCTATTGCCTGGGAGTATCTTGCTGACTCCCTGTGCAATACTAGACTAGAAATCACTTAAAGTATTTTCTTATTGATTGTCTTGGATCATTATTCAGTCCAGTAAAAATTTCAGGTTTTTCCTGGAGCTAGTTAGCTGTGTGAGAACTGGGCAGTCTGTCTTTGTTCAGGCAGTCATCTTGGCCAGAAGTCTCTCACAGCTTGAGTTTTATATTTCTCTACACTGGAGTCCTTTGAATTCTTTCCATTTGCAAAGAGGCGTCTTTGGATTTCTTTAAATACAAAGTCTAGGGTTCCCCCCTCCCCTTTTATCCCAGTGAAGCTAAAGTATGATCTCAGTCAGTCTTTCACATTTGCAATGTAGTTTGGGTTTGTTTTGAATTTTATTTCCATTACCTTACACATCCAATTGAACCTACTTTTTGTTACTTTCATTAATTGATGGTTTTTTTCTGTTTTGTGTTTTTGTAAATTTCCTTATTTCCCTGTCTTCCATAGGAATATCTGTTTAATTCTTTTCATATTTTGATCATATAACTTACTTGATAATTAGGTATTTCTTCTACCACTTTTGGCATTAATTCAGCTTGCATAAGTATGAAATTTGTTTTCCTGAATTTTTTTTTCTTTAATATGGTTTTTTTTCTCTCTTTTGTAATAGATAGGAAAAGCCTTGGTGGCAGCACAGCCTGGCCTTTATGAAGCTATGGGGTAGTTGATTTCTCTTCCTTCTCTTCACTTGTCCACTCCCCTCATTCCTCTCTGTCAAACCTTCTCTAACGATTCTTGGGCAGCAAGTGATGGAAACCTTCATGTTAGTCATTTCTGTGCCTGATGCCAGGCAGCACTAAGTAACTGCTAAGGCTCACTTGCTCTCTGCTACAGGCCTGGTATGGTGAGTATACCAGCAGTGCCTGGGTCTCTCATCCTGTCTGTCAGTCTTTCTGTGTCCCTAGGCCTGGGGTGAGCACACACTGGTTGCAGCAAGGACTCAGCAAGCTCAGCTCTTTCTCTGCTGTGCCTTGCTCCCATGGCTCTTCAGTCTACCCCAGGATCCAGCGTAGCATCCAGGAAGCTTTAGATTCTCTCTGCTTGAGTATCTCTCTGCACCCCAAGCCCTGGGTAACACAGAACTGTACACCTGCCTCTCTTTCATATCAGTTCAGAGTGCAGTACACACACAGAAGCAGCATTTTTGCCCCTTTGACTTCTGGAGGTGCCGGTTGTTAGAGCCCTCTCTTTCTGTGACTTTGTATACTGCTCCACTTTTCGTTTCTCCCTTCCCACTTTTTTCCCTCTTTCCTTCCCTCTTACTCTGTACCCTCTTTTTTCTTATTCTATCCATTCCTTCCTCAGAATTCCAGTAGGTGTTTTTTCCCCTTCCTCCTGTGAGACATTGAAATAGTTTGTTCCTTGGATGTTGTTTACTTTATCTTACCAGATCTCTCCTGATAAGTTTATTAAGTGTTTTCACATTCGAATGCACTTGAGTTTTGTTTTTTTTTCCCCCCTTAAGAATCAATGCCTGCATAATATGCTAAACTTTGATTAATTTTTTTCATTGCAGACAGAGAGTGCCTGGGTTGAAGAATACTCTGAGAAGAAGAAAGGATCCCACAAGCGTTCAGCATCTTGGGGCAGCACAGACCAGCTTAAAGAGGTCAGGAATTAGAGCAGTTTGATTCAAAGCAATTTTTTTGGGCCAGTCATATCCATGAAATTGTAATACATGAGAATTTCCATTGACTTGAATAACTGCACAAAAGTCAATTAAAGTGATTTATTGGGTGGGAAGAGGAGGTCATTACTCAGCTGACTCTTAGAGTTAGTTTTCTTTCAGATTTTGATTTTGTTGAATCTAACTTGTGTCTGTTATGTCGATTTAAATACCAGAGGATTGTTATTTAAAAAAAAATTTTAGACAACCCCAAACATTCACATTCATTATTAACTTAATATAATATTTGTATTCCCATCCCTGGATTAATATTAATAGTTTCCAAACTGAACTTCAGAGAACCCTGTTATATTTTGTATGACATAAATAGTGGTTCTGTGAGAATTTGGAGGCAGGTTATAACTCGAATGTCAAATGATTATATATCAAAAGTGTACATCATGACTTTTTTTCAGTATGAACAAAATATGAACGAAAGGCTTAATTTCCTCCATTTTGTTTCAGAATATTCCCAGTGCCTGAGTTAATTTAGAAAACACAATGTTTCTGCATACATGAATGATATCTTATACTGGGAACTGCTGTCAAACTTTTTCTTAACTGTGATCGTAGTTGTAAACAAAATATAAAAATTAAAAAATGTAAAAAAGAACAGATTGTCTGTTTGAAGTCTGCAAATGCTTAGCCTTGGTCAGATATCAACTGCATGTTTAAATATGTTAATCTAAAATTATTAACACCAAATTGAGAATTGTGTAGTCAGTAAAAGCAAGTACACACTGCTCTTTTTTTTTTTACCTTCTCTTTTCAAATGGTATATACAGACAGTTTCCATTTTATGTAAGTGGACTGTTCTATAGACTTCTGCATAAAGCGTAAAATGATTTTTACGTAATACGGATTTATCCTCGGACATGGGGAAGGGAAAGGGATGAAAAAGGAAAGGGGCCATGTACCCCATAGAGGGGAGGGGGCTGGCACATGGTTTAAGAACATGTGGGGGATGGGGACAGAGCAGGAGGAGGAACATGCTAGGGTGGAGCCAGCCATGTAGAGGCCAGACATGTACACAAGACAGGAGAGGATAATTGATATGTGGAGGCTAGGGCCAGACATGCAGTACCCAGGTACAACAATGGAAAACAGAGTTAGAGGACTGAAGACAAGCCCCTGGTCCAGTGGTGGCATCTGTTCTGCTTTCACTTGGATAGAGGGGTGTGTATGTGTGTGGTTTGTTTATTTATTTGTGTTGGGGACATAATTTGTGGGAGCCTGAGGGGCAAGAGCAGAGAAGGAGAACACAGTACTTTAAGGTAAAATTAACGTGGGTGGTTTGTTTTGTTTTTTTTTTTGGTATGGATTTTTTCCCCCTACATTTACTTTTATAGGATTTTGAGTTACAAAATTTTCCTCTCCCCCTTCCCCAAGATGCTAAGCAAGCTGATATAGGCCATACGTGTACAATCATATTAAACATATTTCCACATTAGTCGTGTTGTGAAACAAGGAACAGATCAAAAGGGAAAAACCACGAGAAAGAAAAAACAAAAAACAACAAAAAAAGAGAAAATCATGTGCTTTGGTCTACATTCAGACTCCATAGTTTATTCTGTGGATGGTGGATAGCATTTTCCATCATGAGTCTTTTGGAATTGTCTTAGATAATTGTATTGCTGAGAAAGAGCTAAGTCCATCAAAGTTTGGTCATTGTACAATGTTGCTACTACTGTATACAATGTTCTCCTAGTTCTACTCACTTATTTATTTATTTTTTATTTTCAACATTCACTTCCATAAGCTTTTGAGTTTTAAATTTTCTCTCCCTTTCTCCCCACCTCTCTCCCCAAGACAGCCATTCAGTCTGATATAGGCTCTACATATATGTGGAATGTAGATTTCTTTCAGAATTATTTATGTAATGTGAATTTACATAAAGCAGAATGTCTGTATTGTCACACTGTAGTGCATTCAAAAAAAGAGGGAACTTTTGAATTCCACCTGTGTCAATAGTGGCCAAAATACATTGGCAGTCCCCAATTTAAGAAAAATCTCTTATTCAATTTTAATATTTTTGTCTCTCAGCGACAATACTCCCCAATCTTCCCTTCTTTTTAACCCTACAAATGATAGGAACTGTGGCAAGTTCCCAAGAATTGATTATCTGGGAAAGGTTTTGGTGTTCTTCTTTACCTGAAGTGGTAGTTATTGTATCATGTTACTCTCAGGAATGGTCGGCCATTCCCCTACACCCTCCTCCTGTCATCATCATGTAAATTAGGAAAAATGAAAAACAAAATTTACAAAATCAGAATCTCCGAGTTAGAAAGTATGATAGTGTCCATATGATAGTATGACATACTGGAAAAAGTTTCCTTTACAACATATCTGACTCCAAACCCCATTCCCAAGTGACTTCTGTCTAACTCCTCTTCATTTGAACAACCTTGCTCCCCTATGTCCCAACCTAGATCTACCCACCTCTTTGACTGGGACCTCTGGAATGTCCACTCTGTAATTAATAAGCTTCATCTTATCTTAAACATTCTTTCTCACTCCTTCCATCTATAAGACCTCAATGAATCTGACCTCCTTTCTCCCTACTTGCTACATACTCAGACTCCTAAATCACTAATACTGGTGGGAGAATCCCCATGAATATTTTCAGACTCTTCCTCTATCATCTTCACTAAACAACCTCTCTTCCTTTTAGATTCATGCTGTCCAAATTTATTACCTGGTACAGATTCTGGTGCCTGTCAGCATCTTGACTCCTAGGACGTTTACCTTCCTTCCTCAGTGAATTTATTTCATGCCTCACAGTCTTTCTTTGCAATTCAACTCCTGCCCTAATAATGTAATTTTTACCTTCACAACCTCCCTTGCATCTGGTCCCTTCTCTCCACTCCCACAGCTACCATCTTTGTTGAGGTCTTCATCCCTCTCCTCACCTTGGGTCTCTCACATTCCAGTTCTTCCTCCACACTGTTGCCAAAGAGTTTTCGTAAGTATATATCCCACCATGTGACTCCCCTACTCAAGAAGCTCTAGTGGCCCCTTACTGCCTGTGAGATAAACCCATCTCCTCTATTTAGCTTTTAAAGGCCTATCCATCCTGGCCCCAGCCTATCTTTCCAGCCTCATTGGACATGATTTCCCTTTCTGGCACTCATACACTTCCTATACCCTCCTCATGCACAACCCTTCTCCTGCTTTGCACTGTCACCCATGGGTCGGGAGTACCCTCCTTGGCTCTACTTCAGAAAGTCCCTTTCTTCCTTAAGTCTCAGTTCAAACACCATCTTCTGAATGAAGTTGTTCCTGATCTCCCCAAAATGCTAGTGTGAAATTGTTATGATATTTTCTGGATTGAATTTCATTTGTTTAAATGATTACTAAACAAGTTAATAGATTGTAGTGATCGTTAGTATTTATAAGCCATTAGGAAGATCAGTATAAAACATCCATCGTTTACTTAGTTCAGTCAGATATGATTGTTCTCACAACCACAAAATAGAAGAAAATAGTAACTGTCCGTCAATATTCTATTGTTAATGAGAGAAGGGCTTGAAGGGAAGAAGAATAAAACTGGAAGATGCTGTAATGATGCCCATGTGGAAAACTGCATCTGCATATCAGCCAAAAGGTAAAGGTATCAGTCTGTGAACCAAATATAAGCTGAAGGTTTAAACAAAAGAAAACAGCAATCTTCTTTTAGACATTGTAGTGTGGTGCTTTCTCGTGGCCATGATTTATATCATAGGTCCCTCTGCCTGTGGGCACTAGAGACTGCTGCTTACCAGAATCAGTATAAGTCAGTTATAGGCAGTTAATTCATCATGCTCAGAGCGTGATTTTAAAACTGCTTCTTTGTCTTGGGGTGTGGGTAAAGGTAGTGGAATGAGAAGCAGAGACTTAAAAACCATTGATTTGATTAGTATAGGTTAGAATTAAAAACTCATGAGAGAATCATCCTTAAGACAGGGCATCTGGTACCAAAGAAAACAGCATCTAGATTGCAGTTCCCCTGTTCTGAGGAAAGAAAGAGCTTTATTTAATTACTTCAGCCTTTTTATTACTGCTTTCATTATCCTTTATAGATATGAATGAGTGAAAAAAGTGACTGGATAATTTGCAAATATAATTAGTTCAGAAATAAACTGCGGGAAGAAAAAGAGCCTGTATGACAGCTCATGTGACCTCATGATCAAAAGTATATTAGATCATTATATCGAGTTCTATGATCTTTAGGATTGGAGATTTCCAGAAAATAGTATGGAGTTTGTTGATACTCTAGACAGATCTGTGATCTCACTGATAATGAATTCTCTCCAGGGATGCAATTCACAACCAATCAGTGTCTGCCTGTCCTGTGTGACTCCAATCTATTTCTTCCCACAGGCATGCTACTCAAAACCCTCCTGATTGCGGCCTGAACCATTAAAATGTAATTATGAAATAGATAAGAAATTAAATAAAATACAATAAAACATTAGATAACATTACATTTTAAAACTATGTCATTCCTTTATCCACAGGAATCCTTATGTACAGTTTAGTGGCCCTTGTTTCTATTTAAGTTTGACACTGCTAGTGTAGTGGATTTAGATCTCATTGCAGACCTTTAGTAAAGGTCTTAGTGACCTTGGGCAATAGTCATTATTGAGCTTTAAACTTTACAAAGCTCTTTAATACATTTGATCAAGTCACTTAATATCTCTTAGCCTCAGTTTTCTCATCTATAATGAGGGGTTTGAATTTGATGACCTACAGTTCTAGTTGTAAATCTGTGATCCTGTGACAATGACGCTGGAAGTTAGGTCAATTTTGCCTTACATGGAAGCAGTAGATAAAAGTATGTTAGCAAAACGAAAGAATAGTTGATGAATTCTCTTTCAATAGGCAAGTCAGTAAAGGAGTTGGAAGACATTGTTTGATTGTGTATCAAAAAACAATTAGAAATATAATTTCATGATCCCGCCATT